TAGAGTTTAGTTACACAATGTAAAAATAAAAACAAATAAATAAACTTGAATACATCACCGGATTATTGGAATAAAGACATGGAAAAGAATAAACTCTTGCACCAAGGTCTTCTTCCTCTTCCAATCTTTGCTTTGATCTTGAATCCTGCGATGAATTTCTTTTCTTGATTTTGCACTTCGATCTCTCGTTATATCTCTCTTTTTCAATGTGTGGAACCCCCTTTATTAGTGACTCCTTAGGTCTACTTATACTTCATTCCACGTTCTTGGCCAATTTGGAGTCTTTTAATGGGGTTCTCACAGCCCAATCAACAAAAACCATAAAATAAGTGGTGCAGCAGTGCCTAGGCGCCACGTTTTTGTTTCCATTGTCACTTCGTAGCACTGACTTGCTGTCCAAACTCTGCACCTATTTCAGTATCTTTATCATAACTTTTTCTCTCGATATTTGATTATGGTGATTCAAAATGAGTTGGAAAGATAACTCAAAGATCTACAACTTTGATAGAATTAGCTCATTTCCAATTAGAATGTTTACTAAGTCATACATGGGTCTCAATCTCTGACTGAAAATCTGGAACATCCTTGTACGATTGAAAATTGATTTGTGACAATATCTTGGTCATATTTTCACTCCTTTTGTCTTCTAATTGCACCCATTTGACCCATAGAATTCTCGAATCTTCATCGTGAGCTTCGGCACAAATGTTGAGTATTTACATTTTAGTCCCTAAACTTTGGATCTTGCCATTTTTTGCCATTTTTCACTTCTTTTCTCCAATTCTTCATCAAACTTAAAGTTTTACCTACAAAAATACAATATAACATAAATTAGGTAGAATTTTATCGAAATGACAATAAAATATCATCATTTAGGATCTCGAATAAATGTAGAAACTACATTTATCAATAATCAAACAAAGGCTTAACACTAGGACTAGAATCATTAGGAAGAGGACGATAGTTGAAATATTCATCCCACAAGGTTTTGAATTTGGTGAAATAATGAGTCACTGATGATGAACCCTTATTAAGAGCACATTGATTTTTTCAATTGAAAAATGCGTGGAGCATTTCCCTAGCTGAACCTCTCCTCTAGCTCTTTCCATAAATCAGATGCATTGGCAATGTAAAGGACACTAGCAGCAATTTCTTTGTTCAAGGAGTTTAAGATCTAAGAAAGAACCATATCATTACAACGAATCCATGCTTGATAAGAAAGATCAGTTATAGATGGTTTTGGGAGATTACCATCGATAAAACCAAGCTTGTTCTAGGTAGAAATGACCATCGACATTGATCTCTTCCAAGGAAAATAATTGGATCCATCAAGAACTTGAGAAACCCATACAGTGCCAGGACTGTCAATTATTTGATAAGAACAAAGGATTCGAGGAATCATCTGCAGCCATGATTAACAATGGTGATCAATCTTTAACACAGCGGAAGATACTAGATTTTATGCTCTGATTGTAAGTGTTATGCCCTAGGTCCAATCAACTTTGGACATAAACACTTTGAATATATATATATATATAATCGCTGCACATGTATGGCGATATCTATTATTTAATTGAATTAATATTCTAATA